TTTAACAAATGGGGGTATGTCTCAAGATTAAGTACTTTTTAAAAACCATTACCATTTGAACGCCTGAACATGGCATTACTTCTGACACTAATATACTCATGCCCCTATCTGAATCTAATCTGTATTGTTATTTATTTGTTATTGCCAAATAAGCGTGTTCAATGGACAAGTCCGAAATCTGCCATTATAAATCCCCATGACGGGTTCAGTGTCATACTGAACTATAATTCCACTGCCATTTACCTATTTTTATTGACAATGTCCAGTCTATAAGCAAGCAAGAGAAGGAATGTGGCTCATTAATGTTTTCCCCTGTTCAGTAATTGTCTGGCCCACTCCAATGGGCCAAATATATAATATATGGGATCGTGTTTAACCAAATAACTAGCTCCTATCAAATTAACGGCAATTTACATGTGATATACAACAAAGTAAAGGGAACACTTACATTTATCTTGCATAATGAACACACACACACACACAAGATTTTGCCAGGGTTAGGATGTTCATAACTACATACTTCCTTGCTTCCCGAGTGAGAGCATGGCTTTCTTTTCTCTTTATTTTGTGTATTAAGACTGTGCACAAAGAGTCAGCAGTGAACAAAACAGTTTCTTTGCAGTTTTGCTATCAATCTTGTAGATCCATGAGTGTTGCAGTTAAAAGAGATGGGGGCTTTGGTTCCAGGGTCATTAGAAGCAAGGCCAGACTTTTCACCTGCATCCAAGCCCAATATATCATCAGACATCAACAGGAGAGGTTAAAAGGGCAGAGGTTTAAGTATTTGACTGTGCAACTGCTGCCTGCTTTGTATGCCCATAGTTTTTACTGTTGGACACAAATTTTTGGCAACTCTGCACTCAAATAGTTCCTAGCAACTTTAAAATTTTAAAATATCTATTTAATGTATAAATAGTCAGATGAGTAAATTGCTGTGCTTACAGAAGATCTATACTCACATTCATAGCAGCTTGACTTAATGCTGAAACTAATAGTATTTGCCCAACTGAAACTAAATAAAAACACATGAATTTTCATGCTAAAGCAAGATTTGCAATTCAAGAAAGCTTTTTTTGTTTTTTTTATAAACAGATGAGCAGATATACTAAAAATATCAGGTAACGTTCTCTGGTCAAATATAACAGCCATCTTCCTTTCTGATTCATAACAATAACTTTTTCTTGCCAAGGATGCTGTCCTTAAGCACTTTAAGTGCTTTTTAAGTATCAGCAATTAAACTTTGGTAATGTAACCAGTGAGAATTGCTGAAGAACTCTGGTTGACACACTTACTTGTATGGAAAATTGGCAAACACATTGGGGCAATACCTCATAAAACCATAAGCAGAATCGAGATGCTTATTTCACCAAAGACTTCAAATTTATTGTCTAATCAAAAACACATCTCAGAGTAGCACACCTTTAAAACCCATCCCAAGTGCATTCGGCATTAGTGTAGTTCTGACTCAACAAAAAGAGTGCCAGATAACATTGAGTAAAAAAAACCCACCCATTTCTGTTTAGCAATTAACCAACATTACCAACATTGAAGCTGCCATAGAACATTCAATAGTCTACCATCTGAGTTTTCAGAAGCAGCGCTTTTAAAATTATTTTAATTATTTATTTTTTAAGGTTTTTTTGCTATAAAGGGGAATAGCTTACTGGAAAAATATGAAAGCACTTCAGATTTTTAAAAAATCACAATTTTTCTCTTGTTGATAGTGCTTAGCAAACGTAGGTTGACTTGGTTTTGATTGCTGTTTAAATAACAGATTAATATAATAATCGTTGGGATATTGAATAACAACAAATTATGGGGCAAGACAGCCAAACCCTGACCCTAATGACATTCTTATGTTAATTCCTATCTTTTTTTAGGCTCCTGCTTTCTTAATAAAACCTATATTTTTGAAAATCGTTTTTAAACATCACAAATTATCTCAAAGTAGCATTTATTTTTTGCTAGTAAGAGATAAGTTTACACATAGAATGTGTATTTTCTCTGTTTGTGTACATTTAGTGCATGACTCAAAGCCTGCCTAAGTGTACAGGCATCATTTGAATGATCGAATAAGTTTTCAGAGATGGCTGAAAAGGTGAGCCAGCTAGTTAAGAAGTAATTAGCACACAGCCCTTTCTACTGTTTGATTTATTTGTGAGGATACTTCTATTTAAATCCATGCACCTATGATTAAAAATGACGATTGGAAATGTTTATAAGAACAAGGCTTGGTTTTAATAACTACAGTTGGTAACTGTTGCCCTTGCTAACGGTGGAGTATTTCTCTCAGATCAGTCACAGCACACCCTCAATGCAATAAGATAGACTCCGACTCTTACTCTGTGACCGTTTTGACTGTGACTGTGATTTTGTTAGCAATAACACAGTATTTGTGCTCTGAAATGTCTTATCTAAGTAACATTATATGGTTTCAGTTAACATCAGCATCATTTTTACTTCTGCTAAGAGACTGCTTTTAATGTTTTTCGAACAAGAGCTCTATAGTAGGGGCTGACACTGTCGGAACAAAAGACAGTGACTCCAATGAGTAACTTGTGGCACAAACTTTCTTGCAGCAGAGCATTTGTGCAACTTCTGTTTGCAAACCTGTTCACAATATACTGATTTTCCCACTGTCTTTCAAATAGGTTTGCAATATTAAAGTGGGTGTACATTCAGCTAAATATTTGCAAATATATTTTCCTACTTGTAATCAAGATTTGCGAGTGTATATCACAAACAGAATAACCTATAACATGATCCAAGGAGGACACAGGAAATAATCCCACTAACACAAAAGGATCTGAATTCAGGGTCTAGTATGCAACAGTTTTCCATGTAGAAGAATTTTGACTGATTGAGCCCATCATTCTTAAATTACAAGCATTAAGCATTACACTTGCTTGTAAAAATATTTATCGGTACCTAGACCATGAAACAGAAAACTGGGTCAGAAGATGTAGGTCTACAAAGGACTTTGGGTCAAATTCCTTAGCTGTTCTGTGGGGAAGTGTCCTGGGTTATAACAAAAATATTTGGAATCCAATGCAGTCTGCAGTCTTAGATGCAATTTGTAGATTGTTAACGACAGTGGGTAAACATTATAACGAAGAACTTTCCCATGAGAATCTAATAGTTCTTCCGGATTATTTCTTTAGGTTTTGCCATTGCTTGTGGAGAAAAATAATGGGTGCCTTGAGATCAGTTTGTAACTTACAGGGTTTTCTTTTATTTTCTTGTTCCACAGTGGAACACAAAATGTTTTTCTATGAAAAAGATCTTAGCGCATTATTTTTGAAATACTATAATTTTCACTGAACTCAGTTTCCAACTCAGTGCTGTCCAAGTATTGCAGAATTGTGTTATTTTTGAAAGCTTTTTCCTTTGACCTGAAGTTACCTAAGACGACAGACTGAAATCTGCCTTCCTCTGAGAAAACCTGGTCCTGTTAAATTAATCTTCTTTTGATGGATCATGTCTGTTTGCAATATTTAAACAGAATCATAGAATGGTTTGGGTTGGAAGGATCCTAAAGATCTTCTAATTCCAACCCCCTGCCATGGGCATGGGCACCTCCCACTAGACCAGGTTGCTCAAAGCCCTGTCAAACCTTGCCCTGAACACTTCCAGGGATGTGTGATCATTTGTTGCACAATTTCTCAGTAATCTTCTCCTTAATCATCACCCAAATAAGGCTGCTTGAATTCTACAATGTTGGCACGAAGAACTCATAGCAGTGTAACATACATTGTACTTGATACGTCAATTGGAAATGTCATGGCTCGATTTTTTTAAGTTTGTACTTTTCAGGCAATGGGACCTATTGTTACATTTAAAGGGTTCCCCAGGATCAATTTACAAAGCACTTTCATACTTCTATTCCACAAAGCCATATAAAAACAATTATTCATAGTAGACATTAATAATTTATTTACAATTAAAAGCTGGTGAGCAGCAAATTAAAAGGGAATATTAACACTTAAAATATATCTCTAGGGTACTTAACTCCTATTTCCTGATTTAAAACAACAAAGATATCAAGGAGAAAATTTAGAAGCAAGTCCAAAAGCACACCTATTGACTTCAAAGAGAAGTTTTCACCTTTATTTGCTAAATGCATATTGATTTGGTCTGGAAAGGGAGAGTTGTAACAATTTTTGTTTGACATTTGTATTGATAGACAGACTATTGCTGTAAATACTTATCTCCTTTGTGATGATGACCTCTCAACATAAAGGAAATCCTATTAAGAGACTTAATGAAGTACAGAAATTTGCATAAACAATACCTGTGTTATTCTTCAATTAAAATGTACCATAAGGACACTAAGAATGCCACGCAATAGGCACAAAATGCAGAGATAAGACATTTTCAATATGTAGGAGGGAAGCAAGACTGAAGTCTTGCTCTTTTAACCCTACGAGGGACAACTGCACAGTAGCACTGATAGAACTGACAAGGCAGCAGCACTGACATGGGAGATCTGTTACGGTTAACTCAGCTTTCCAAGCAAGTTTGGAAGATAGGTTTAACCCTCTCCCATGCTTTCAGCCTTACAGTTCCAAGAAAGAAACATTGTTTGGCATTCAAGTAAAACAACCAGATCTTGCTGTACCACAAAGGAGCGTCTGACATCACCATCAGGGTTTTGCTCCTGTACAGGAGAGCTAACAGCTCTAACCTGTCTGTAGCTAAATCTTCACAGAAAATGCCCTGAGAACGTTGCCTGCATCCAGGGAAAGTCTTAAAACATTCTTTGAAATTAGCATAAGCATCTACTAGTTTTACATTTTTTGGTAGAAAATAACAGGCTCTGCTTTAATTTAAGAGTATAAAACTTTTAAATGACCCCTGCAATAAGAGAAATGACACCCTGACAGAGGTCACTACATAAGATACAACATAACAGACTTGTACATTCTTTAATATAACCTTGAATAATTCAGCTTTATTGCTTTGTCACAAACAGCTGTATAAAAAAAATTGAAAGGGCTTACTTGAAACAGTCATCGCAAGCAATATTCCCCGTGGTCTCCTTTATAGTGCGTTCGGAAACAAAAGCTGGATATTCGGTATCACAGGGCTCTAGGGTTTGTTTCAACCTCTGCGCTATAGGCACAGAAAAAATATCTTGATGTTAACATGGGAAGAACAGCACACAAAATTCTGAACAACATGAGATGCTGTATTACAGAGCTCCCAGAGAACGGAAATGTTACTCAGCTTCTGCCACCCTGTGAGATTTCCTAGGCAGTGCATAACACTATTTTTTCAATTACAAAAAAATAAAGTTTATCCATGGAATGCAATTTTGTAAGACATAACTACTAACGTAGTTATTCATGGTTTAGCTGTTGCCAACACACTTGACATTTATGCACAGGCTTTTATTTTCTCTGCAGATTCAAGCTGGACTTACTGATGTTCTTAATTCCACGGTGCTGTGCATCACTAACTATTATGTACAGAGGTTTACTTTTATTTGATATTTAAATTGTGTACATTTACCCAAGTCAAAACATTTTCTTGGATTTCAGCTTGGGAATCTTTGCAGAGTTTCATCAGTTAGGACAACTCTGTGGGTGGGGGTCAACACCGTTACTTCACCCAGAACCAAAGCTTGTTATCTGTTTCCAAAATATTAGTAATTAAGACTCCAAAGCACTTTTTAGTCTGAAGCCCTTATAGTGCAAGGGGAAAGAAAGTGTCACTATTTTCATCTTCAAGACTGGGAAGTTGAGGCACCAGGAAGGACTAAGACCGGTTCAAGGACAAACTACAGGACAACAGCAAAGCTGGGAACTGAAAGCAGCTCTCACACAACTCCCACACTGACAGATCTGTTGGACAATGTCTCTCCCTCATTCCCTTTCTTCTTCCTCCCCACCCCTTCATTCTTCCTTAACACAGAGATACATTTGCACATCAGCACAAATGTTAAGCCTATCTTAAACTAATTGCTAAGTGAGAAAACAAGACGAGGCATGACAAAAATAGATTACACTAAACAGGCTCTTGGACTTGACAGATCTTCCATTTAAGATAATCTATTTCAGAGCCAGTGGTGTATCTACTGCATAGTGCCAGGGGAATGACCAAAATTCTATTTGCAATCACACTCTAGGACATGCATTTCTGAACTGTTCATAACTTGTGTATATAATAAAAATATTCTCCCAAATTCACAGATCTCAAAGCAAGCACTAAAGTTGGTCATAAAAGTCTTGGTTTTTTTCTCATGTTTTCACTACAGTTGTGACATATTTAACAATTTAGGATTTTTTTAAAAATTGACTGATTACCTCTAGTGCACCTTCTCCCTTTCTATTCTCTTCTCCTTATCTGTTGCCAAGAATGATGGAAATTTATCACCTGTATTTCGGGTCTACCCTCACTTGTATCAACATATGGCTTATGTAACGAAGAGACTGCCAGAGATCCATGGGTCTCAGATTTCCAGCACCTCGTTAGAGTCCAGAAAATGATGGAGTGGCCCAAGGTTTAGGGCATCAGTTTCTTCTTTCTCATTTACAAAAGTGGTTAAGATTACAAGATCTGTGCAGAAGTATTTTTCATATTAGGGTTTGGTAAACTGGCAGGTGCGTGGTAACCTTCCAGGATTCTTGCAATATGTGATGTTCTCCTAGTGTCACAGTTTGAGCAGGAAGCAATTCCATCCTCAGAGGAAGTGATTTTTTTTAGAAACGTTTCTGAAATACCATAAAAATCTGCTAAAATATTGTTGAAATTGATAACTTCCAGTTCTTATAGGTACTGTTAAAATTTCATTATTTCAAATGAAGCCTCCACATTTGTAAAACATCATTTTGACTAAACTGAATTTTAGTTCATCTAGATGTTATTACTTTTAAATGTCTATTGGGACTGGAATGGTGACACAGTTTTAACCACTCTTGTTAAAAGTAAAAGGATAAAATTTACTATTTTAAGCCTTAGCAATTATTTTCAGAAGAAATTATATTGAAACAAACATATTCCTATGGACTTTTGTTAAAATGGCATTTTCCAGCACAATAACCCCCTACATATTACAGCAGCTCCTGAAAAAAAAAATGAAGCACCAGCAGAAAAAAAGCTAGTGTAATGGCTTTACTCACAAAGACTGCTTTGGAATGAAGGGAAATCTTTTTATAAAACATATTTAATTGTTATCTACTACTTTAACTTTTCTCTTATAGTAGTATACCATATTCCTAGAATACACACAAGCAGTTTGTGGTTATTCATAGAATACTCTTGTGTGTTTTGGGCAACATTAACAAAGAAGAGGATGCTGACAAGGGAGACAAACTATTGTTAGCAGCTGTCTGTTATTTAATCCAAAACATTTTATGCACATCTGAATTTCAAAAATCCACTTTAATATAGATATTTCTGCCATTAAGGCTAAGAAAAAAATGACACTTACCTTTTGCTGTTAAGTCAGAGTGCCACCAACTGCATAGATTGAATTCCACAAGGAACCTAGAGAAATTATTAGAGTTCTCATATTACACCACAGAATGTTTTCAAAACACTGAATTGGCAGTAGTTTGATATCATTAATCTTATCTGAAGTAAAAGCTAACACTGAACTGAAATTCATGTTACTAGCATAACTCTGGGATTATCAACCATTGTTATTCTCACATTTTCACTCTGTGGTATCTTACTGCTGAGAATTTATCCTGAAATAAACCCCATCAACAAATTATAGATTTACATGTTATTAACTTAAATTATTGATGTTATTTGAAGTGTCAAAATTCTCAAAGCATGGCATCATACGGTATTTTCACTGTTGAACATTATTTCTTCACTATGCAGGTACTTTGACTCTCTAGTAAAGTGCCATAGGATTATAACTATCCTGCCTACAGTACAGGAATACACATAAAATACTACTTATAGCAAACCTGAAACTAAAATATTAAAACTATTTTCTTTTTGGAGGAGAAAAGATTGATTAACTGGTGTCTAAGTAACTCTAACTAGGCATGTAGAAAATGCAGTTTCCCACTAAAATATACTGCAATTTACTTTGAAGAATGGACTGAAATGTGTCAGTTTATCAGTTATTGGAAGTGTAAAGAATGTGAAGACAACATCCAGTTTATCACACAGACAGGAAACTACAATACCTATAAGCACAGAAGGTTTCTTGAGATTTTTGAAGCTGTTATAAACTAGCATCAAAGTCTAATTTTAACATGATTTCTTTCTCCAATATTTACTTTGAAAGCTGCATTTAAGATCAATCTCTGCCCTCTGGCAACAGCCACTCAGTTAATTCTCTAACTCCTATTCCAAACTTTGATGAAAGCTTATACAATTTACACTTGAAAAAAAAATATTATAAGAAAAATTTAGTTCTATTTCAGTAAAGGTAAAATTCACTTAAATCTGCAACTCTGCTCTCTGATAAGAAGAGTAATAAAACATATAGGTGAATAATACAAGACACATTTTAAAGCTTCCTCTTCTCCATATGATATTTCTCTGAGACTTCTTAGGCAATCTCTCTTAAAGCAAGGCTCATTATATATTAACTGGCAATGTTAGAAGAATTAGACAAAGTAAAAAAAATCAGCAATAGCCAGAGTACACCTTATCTGCTATAAGACCGTAAAAGGTCCATCTTACAGAAATTCATGAAGTGACAAAGCAAACAGTGAATCACTGCAACAGTTTGCTATATTGACAGCCCACCCAAGCAGTGTTAGAAACAGCCAGACGTTTATGTAAAATTTAACATAACTACGATAATAAATTTGGGTTGTATATTGCGATCTGCTAGACTAAGCAAAGACATACGGATATAAGTGAAGACCATGAATAATGTAATAGAAATGCGACCATGCATTTATATAGCCAGAATTTTTCTCAGATTTTAACAATGCAAATATTGGAAAGCAAAAAATTGATGAATATTACTATATTTAAAACCTTATAATAAAAGCAGCACAATGTAAGTAGAAGGCAAAAAATACAAATACTCACTAGGTATTCAGCAGTACAAATATTCAGTAATTGATTCAAAGATTTGTTAAGTTGATAAAATTTACTTACAAGACAAGCTCAGTCATAATCCATTTTACTGCAGCAAAGAAGGCATTGTAAGGCTGAAGAGAAGCAACACATTCAATAAAAGAGCAAAACATGCAGTATGTATATCTTAACAATTCTTCATGTAAAGACAATGTTATGGATATTCAAATGCAAGTGTAAAATGATAAAAAGAACAATAACTTTTTCTTATGAAGAAATAAATATTATATTGAATATATATAGTAATGTGTAGTAATGAAAATACATACTAATGAAATTTCCTTTTAATGTGATTAGTTATATACATAGATTATCAGTTGGAAAAGGAAAGTTTTGCAAATGATTCTTAAATCTTTAACCTCTAGGGGTTCCTATTTCCCAGGCTATTACTGAAGGAACAGCTTTGGTAGATAATACGAGCTTTTCATAGGCTGCAATTCACAGGCTTGCCTCTCTCTAACGTTACTCTCTATTCAATACCTCGGTCTAACTAGACCAGGAAAGTCTCAAGTTTGAATTTACCTAAGTTAATTTACCTCTGTCATATTGAAAGTAAAGTCCAGTTATAAGCACTTTAAGTAGTCTTTAAGATTCTTCCCTCCTCCTTCTATTTTTCTAGATCATAACAAATACAGTAAATATTTTGAAAAATCCTGTGTTTACAGTACTTTTACATTTTGAATATTTTCTGTTTGAAAAGAATATCAAAAGGATTTTTCTTACATGAAAAAATCTAAGGCAGAAAAGCCAATTTTCAGAAATCTGGATTCTATCCTTGCCTCACTCGCTTGTGTTAGGGTGTCCTAGTTGCATAAAATTTTGCAACCTTTTCAGATTCTGTATCAGCAAAGTATTTTGGCACATGCAAGAAGTCATACTTTTCGTATGTTGCATAATGCCATATGATTTAGTGTAAAATAATATATTACTTAATTATTACAAACAATACATAGTTAATGTAAAATATGCTATGTATTATAAAATAATTTTAATATGAGAACTAAAAGAAAATTTAAAAACTCAATATATTTGAAAAAAACCCAGTATGAATAGAAAATGAGCAAAATAATTTGTTTTGCAATTTTAGTGGAAAAATATTTCACTACATTGATACAAATGCATTCTCATGAAATGTCACTTTACTAAGACAGCCTTTTCCACTCAAAGACTGTTGCTTCAAAAACTGCAACAAAACCTGCAGGAGTTTTATTCTCACTTTGTATCTAAACCATCACTGAGAGACGAAGGATTGGAACTGGGTAACTCTATGGCACCACGGTGTTTGCAACACAGTGGTTCTATGGAGAGTTATCTAGAATTTAAGTTAATTGAAACAAGAAAATATGCTAAATAACAAGGTATCTGGATATCCTTTAAGACACAATCTCATACTGTCAAATAAAGGCACCAGATCTATAAATCTATATAGTAGTAGTTCATCCCTAATTTATCATTTCAGTCCCACAGCCTAAAAGCTGTGACAGAAAAGGGTCCAGCCCTGATGCTTGCTTTCCATGATTTTTTGCTGGATTCTATCACACAATCTCTAATGTCTGTGTTGTTTAAAAGATGAACTTTTTAGATAGGTTAAATCTTGTCCCTATATATATGCCTGTATTTGTAAAATCTTCTATTTTCAGAAGAATGAACATCTGTAAACAAATTTTTTGCTTATGCAGAAACTGCACCGAATACTGACTAATAACCTTGTCTATATGTACAAAACCAGGCATAAAACCAGAAAAAAAAAAACTTTTGAGGAATCCAACCCTACCTGGTTTCAATGCAAGTTCCCTTTATAGTTTCTCTGTAGCCACGGTTATTAGAACTGACTGAATCAACAGGAAAATAATAACCGAAGCTCTGCCCATTTTTCATGTGGAACATCACAAAAACTCACTTGAGCTTTAAAAGAGAGCTTGTTTATCTTTAAAAAATAAAGAACATGCTCGCCATTTTTCAGTGTATCCCACAACAGTTGCAGAGGCTTTTTTCTGTAAATACAGCCAGGATAAAAAATAGTGAAAATCTCTTGGATTAAAGCCCACTTTTAAGAGAGAAATACTTCATTTTACATGCTGGGTGCTTATGCAAACTGAGCTGAAGCTCCAAGCCCTAGGATAGGAGGTTGCTGCTAGTTGTTGTACCATAATTATTTTTTTTCATGCAAATATGATTCAGAGCATCCCATTCTATTTCACTGAGAGTTCAAGTATTGTTCCACGTCCTTGTGCTTATTATTATGTCAAGATATTCCTTTTTCAGGTTTAGGCTTTAGCAGATGCCACACTGATAAATGCAGTAAATCCAAATCTGCAGGCATTTGAAAAACACAGAGTCATGTAAATATGTAAATGAAAACATCCCTAAATGTGTATGATTATTAAACCATAGATGCTATATATATATATGTTTGGAAATTGCCAGATATTTACTCAACAGTTTAACTATGTATAGACTATTTTTCTAGGGGGATCCTTGTGCATTTAAAAATACTATGAGATAACTTTTCCAGACTGGTAAGATTTTTTCATGTTAATCACAGAATGATAGGTGTTAATACTATCATATATTCATTAAAATGGTTCTTTAATACACAAAAAAACTGTACTTCTTCTAATAGATTATTATAGTGATCAGTAAAATATATATGTTTATAAAACACACCTGAGGTTACCGCCTAGATATGTGATTTAGCAACAAGGAGATGTTGCCCTTGCAAGACCCAGCTTGTCTCACAGAGCGACAAGGTTTGTATCCAGATCTGATATTAAGACAAGAGTTTAAATGCATTGAAATTGTACCTTGAAGGACATCTTTAAACACTAAGGAAAAAACTATTTTAAAAACACAGACTTGTAGCCTGCCAATTAGTCAATCGTTTTGTATTTTCAATTTGTAATTTGAATTGCATTTCTACATGTGTGTGTGTGTTTACGTACAGAAAAAGCATATGTGATTCCTGTCCCGCAAACAAAGCCTGATCTATTACCAAATTTACAAAATCCTAAGAGGGAGGTTTCATGTGGTGCAAAGAATATTCTGGTGGTCTGGCATTAAAACTGGTTGTATAAGTATTTCAACTTGAAAATGCTTAACACTTCGCATTTGTTTATAATGAACCACTCCCTGTATGCACTAGAATAAACACAAGAGCTGTAAGCATTCCAAATCAAAATAACAGACTTACAATGGCCATGAGGTATTTGCAACAATTTACTTTGATGACTGCATGGAAAGGTGCTCAGAAAATTTACTATACTTACGTCCAGTAAGCTATGGGCACTGTCGCTACTTTCTTTGTTTGTTCTACACATGGCCTGGTAGTCATAAAGTGTAATTCTACAGAGAAGAACAGAAAACTACTTGACTCAAAGAAGAAAACACAGTGGAATAAAAATGATGATATGGAACAGTCTGCCCACAGCGTAGACAGGAAAATAAGAAGTTTAACGGCAGCGGGGAAAAGAGGGAAAGGGATCATTAAATTACAGGTTACACAAAGGAGAATAAAGGTAAGGAACACCATGAAAACGTTCTAAGGTTTTTATCAGACTACAGACCAAAGCAAAAGCATAACTGGGAGACACCAAGGAAGATACACATACAGTGTAACACACAGTGATATAAACAATGTGAGGAGGAGAAGGAGAATACACATTCAACATGATGCTTAAACAATTGGTTCTGGACTAAGATCAGCACATTTAGCCCCAGAAAGTGAAAGAACCTATGCATTTGAGGGGCTTCTCACAACAGACCACTCTTTAACTCCAGTAAAAGCAGAAAGACACTTCCATAGCTCCAGCATCTCAGTGCACAACTAATTTGTAAAAACATGGAGTTGCTTCCAAAGAAGAGAGGTGGAATTTCAGTGTATTCACAGCATAGATAATTGAAGCAGGAGGGGTTTATTTTTGCTTCTTTTCACGAGGGCAAAATATGCCATGTCTGGTACCTGTTGTAATCAACACATGCCAGAAGCCTCCTCAGATGCATAGTAAACAGGGAAAAATATTTCTGCTTGTGATTTTACTCATCATTGGTACACTTCAGAGATCTAAATGTAAAATCCAGAACTCAGAGATAGTAAATGGGATTGTGATTATTTCTCTAAATCTGTCTGTCCATAGAACAATTAATTAACTATATCCATCCACATAAAAAGCATTTAACATCTATAGCAGATGTAAAGAATCTTTAGCTGATAAGCTGCAACAAATGTAAATATATAGAAGTTACTAGTATTATCTGAACATATCCATTTGACTTTGCATCATCAGAGGCACAAAGGAACACAATCAAACATAGATGGTTTATAGGTGTCTGAGATGGGACTTCAATGCTTTGCAATGTGTGCCTCGCTTCCAAGGGAAGAGGAAAAGAGAGCACACAAACTCAGGTATGGAAAGGATGTCCCAGAAGCTGCCAAAACCAGGTCATGAAATGCATTCAGCATCACCATGAGGCATTCTGCACTGCATGCCATGAAACATTGCAACCTGTACCAATAACGTTGTAATCCATTGTGGTAAAAACTGTATATAATTTTTCTGATCTAGTTTTGTGACAGCAACCATCACTAAAAGCTTCTTTATTATGCCTATATTTTCTTTTTTGGCTTAAAGGCAAAATATCTAATATATTGAATCTCGCAGCTTCAACTAAACATTTAGTACATGGTCATACTGCTTACATTATTATTTTTTTCTGATCTTGAGAATAGAAATGGCTAGGAAGCCATTGTTTTGTGGACTGGCAGAGAGAGGCACATGGTAGACAAACGCAAAACTAGAGACCTAAACATGGGTGTAAGTTGAACACTGACCATATTTGGCAGAATCACGCCCACAGCCAGATCCGCGCACACAGATCTGCCAAGACAAACAGAGCAGTACATGGTGTAAGCTGTGCTGCCTGTGTGGCATGCAGTAATACACCACTTTCCCTAGCATTTTTTTTTCTTTTTTTCCTTTATTGCTTTCCCCCTTCCTTTTTTTCCCCATGGCCAGAATCCAGACCCTGAAAGGCTGTCTCTATAGCTCAGCCTTTCAAGTCTTGGTGGGTTCGTTTATTCCTCTAGATTCAAGGATTGTGTTGCTTGTCCACTTGGACCTCATAGTGAAGGTGGAAGTGCTAAGTGCACCGACAAGGGCAGTTTACAGATGTTAATGCGCTCTCTGCGGAGTAGTCATGGAATTCTGTATGGATTAAATGGTCCCATCCTGCTTCATTCAACATCTAGTGTTATAAGCAAAACAGCATTCAGTTTTATCCTTATACTTTGTAAATGGCTTTTCAGTATAGTAAGTTTGTTGCTCATTTGTTTGTTTGTTGTGTCATTTTCAGCACACGTATGGATTTCTGCTTGGATAGTGTAAAATACCATCACTGGAAGTTATAATATCTAAAAGATCTTCAATGCATAAAATTCCAAATGTTTTGTCACCTGGTCAAGATTTTGTTTTTTTTCATATAAAATATAGGAATAATAATCTTTTTACCATGAAAGTATATGTCAAGTCCACAGGAAAAAAAAAGAATTTCTCCAAAGACTCAAGTCAATAATACAGGAATCCCTAATTACAGACACTAGGCTATTCTCAGTAGTCTGAGTGGAAATGAATGGTGACTACAGCTTACTTGTGGTGGAAAGATATTCATCAACTAAGATACAAGATACGCAGCCCGTTAGGCATTCTCACAAGGAGGGACAGCGTTGAATGGTATGAAGCATAAACTAGTTTCTAAAGTCTAGAGAGGGTCCTTGTGGGGAGGTAGCAGGACACTAAGAAATCCTGTACTGTTGCTGCTCTGGCTCTACCACCGGCATTAACAGATAGATTATTTGTGTCCAGAAGCTGTCAGACTAATACCTTTCACCACCAAGAAAACCAATGAAAAGCATAAAAATAAATTACAGCAATTTGACAGAAAAACATTTGTCATCACATATCTTTGCCTTTATTTTTCAGCTATTCCCAATTGCCAAGGTGCTCCAAAGCACAACGTGTGTAAAAACTGCAACTCAACCCGAATGGCAACTTGTTTACACAGCACATGTGCCTGAGCTTCTCTTGAAGTAGGTAAGAGGATTCCCATATATAATACACTGCATTAAACTGGTGACAGTATTTACAGAGATATAAACTCCAACAATGCCTAAACTCAATTTTAAGACATTAATTTATGAAGTCACATGGACAAAATACCAGCAGAAAACATACCACAGAGGAGTGGGGGAGTTTCTGAGCACAGGTACCAGATGTAAATGCAAAACCAAACAAACCCAGAAACCAGAAAAACCCAAACAAACCCAATAACCAAACCCAACCACCACCACCAAAAACAATCCCCCCCCCAAAAAAAAACCAAAACATAACAGGGTTTTTCCTGTCGGTAATGACAAGAGGGAAGTGACAGATATTATTTGGTTCCTTGTAAATCTGTTCTAGAGAGTCTGCTATATTGTTGCCTTTCTGACAGCTATTTCGCTGATGAAAATGGAATGTCATTCTTCAGGGCAGTGCAATTACATTATTCATTTAGAAATTGAAGATTAAGGGTGCAGGCCTCATACATGCTCTGGAGAGCACATGACAGCTAATATAGAAGATAATTATCAGAAATAGTCTGCTTGTTTTCCTACCTTGAACACCTTCTGTCTACCCATACAAAAAACGCATATTCATCTACTCGACTAATTTTTGTCGTATTTATGCCATAAACATGGGGCATGTTTTGAGCTTAGTTTTTCTTTTACTAAATAAATCATCCCCAAAGATAGGGGAATTTTTTATACCATTAGAACAACTATATTGCAGAACTGCACGTATTGTGCATTTGCACAACACTAAACCCATTAGTTCCAATCTGAATCCTTCAATCTAGCATTGATCTTCTCCAAAGCACATGTTCAGAAACATTGTCAAATTAACAGACATTCAAATCAATGACTGTAAAAATCCACATGAAAATAAACACAAATTTTAAGTATGTGTCCATTTAAAACCTTCACCAAAAATTTAAGAATATCATATTAAAATGAATGCTTAAATAAGAAAGCATGGCCTAAACTAAACAGAAGAGTATCCTTCATTTGGAGGCTTTGGTCCCTCAGAGGAAATTATCATTCTGTTGGTGAGCAACTAGTTACTATTTTCATTTTTTGGCTTTAAGATTGTTTAAGTAGCTTAATAAAGCTACTTAAAAAAAATAAAGGTAAAAATAATTTTGTAATAATCTTATAACCTGGAGGCAGAACGCTTGCTAGGGTTTGCTTATAAAACAAGCCAACGCAGAGAGATGAAAATCTGCTTCTCAGTGCACGCATCTGGAGAACACAGGTGAAAGATCTGGATCGTACGGTGCCATAAGGGCACAGCCAGGATGCAATAAGTAGGAATGTGAGTAAAGATACAGGAATCAAGCAAGACGAAATGCGAGACAAAAGAAGCTCTCAAAACAACAGGAACTTATTAGAGAGAGCCTTTGCATCTGGGAAAGCTAGAATTCAGGGGTGCATCACTGCAGTCATACAACCTAACAATGTGATTAAACACCAAAGCATAGATTCTTCTTCAGAGGCCAAGAGGCTGGCTGCTGGAAGTAGAACTGTTAAGAGGAAATGATGTTGCTTCCATTTTGTTGTACCAAAATGCTTTGTTTTGCTCATACAGGAAAGGATGAAAATGTTTTGAAATCACGAGATATTCAATCTTCTCTTAGAGATTTATTAAGCTCATTTCTCTGGGGATCTTATTGCTCCAACAGTCCTTATTTTTTCTGATGTTAATGTGGGGTTTCTTGACATTTTCATGCTTTGAGCAGTTGAATCTATTTTTTCACTGTTTTAATGTAAAGTGCTGAGGAAATGACAAAGAAACTTTTTTCTAAGTTATGCGGAACCAATACTTTTCCATAAGCACATACTAATTTATTTAATAATAAATTTAAATTACATTTAAATTATTTAACTGTGTGCAATATTCAGAGCATAAGATAAACATAATTTTCACTAAATGAAATCACAGAACATGTCATGTTGCTGTGGAGGAACTGATATAATTTTTCTCCCTAAACATAAAGCGCGTAAACTAAGAAAATATACACACGTACATATGTACACATTATTCAAAAGAAGGACTGAGTTTAAAGAAATTGAGGGGGGAAGGAGGTATTTAAGTTCACTTTAAAAAATAAACAGCGAACGCAAAAATTGAATTTCATGCTGCTGCAGGTTGAAAAGAAATACAGTCAGGAGCAAACAACCCCCTTTTGTTTCACACTTGCAGCTCAATCCTTAAAAGAACTTCTATATCCTCCAAATTAGCGGTAGCTGAGCGAATGCACAAAGGGCTATTTCATTCCTTTTGTGGATGGAGAGCCTGAAAGCTGGCGTGAATCAGCGAGGTGGTGGCACATATCTGCACTGCACCAGAAAGGGTTCCCAGTCCTGTAGTTACTGGGATGTCAGTAAACTCAGTTCTGAGTGACAAGCAGGCACTGTAGAGCCTTCTGCTTTTAAACCAAATGAACATGGAGCAAGACCTGATCAAACAGGGCACAGCTATATAATTCACCTGTGGACAGTAAATGCCATACAATAAACAAATTTTATGAAAGGACGGCTCTGGAAATTATCAGAGTGAAAGGCTGAGGAACAAATCTTGCTCTCCAATTTTTAATCTGTGGCAAGAGCAGCAATGACAAGTATAACGCATGCAGTATCTGCACTGCTGTGCTCTCAGGGAAATGGTACTGGTAGTAGATTTTGGCACTGCATTGTTCAGTGCTTTTTTTCCTTATGTGTAATTCCACGTAAAATATTTTTTTTGAAAAGCAAAACACAACTCCACCCAAACAAATTAGTGATGTTAGAAATGGTAAACGTGTCTCACTATTTTGCATGAGAGCCAGCAGAGATTTCTTCATATTTCTGGAATCTAACACAGCTCAAAACCAGTTTGGGGTTATTTTTGTGGCTGCACAGAGCTATCTGCTGTACAGCAGGAAAAGCAAGTGGCTCATTTAGTGCAAATACACTACTTTGATTCTCTCTCATTTTTAATTGATTGGCAATGGCCAATCTATTGTGTTTAAACAATCAGCCCATTGTGTTTACATTTTCTTCACCATGCATTTAGCATGGCTTCATTATCAAAAACTCCCTCAGAGCTCAAGAGGAGAAAAATCCTAAGGCAATGACCCACGCCAAACTGGCACCCACTGAAGTTCAGACGACACACTTGAGTCATGCAGTCTTTGTTTTCTCAGTGGTGGTGCCTATTACCATCAATTGTTCAGCAGATATTCTCTATGAAATGCTTTGCTAGGCAGGACAAAACAAATTGGGACGAATTAAAGCATTATCCCTTGATTTTGACTGTATGTTTTTGTTTGCATTAAATAAAATGCTTCATCGCTTGTATAAACAGAACTTCGCATTGCAGAACTCAGTCTGTAAATACACATTACTTCACTTTCTTTTACAGCATATGTTAAGAATATAGTGCTAAACACAAAAAGGTTGTCACCCTCAGAAAATCAGAATTTGGGATGATTCAGTGAGTGCTAGAGCTTTCCATTTCAGGTCAGACATTTACTGAGAGTGGCATTCAGCTATAATGTGCAGAGGCAGCACAGAAAGCTTTTTCCCTTTAAGAGACCTGGTTTACCAAGGAAGCATATAAACCATCTGTTTTGAGAGCCTCTGTACACACCCTCACATATAATAACTAAAATCAGTGGTTGATGGGATCAGTGATGTGCCTTTTTTATATATATTAGAAATGCATAGGAAAATAAAAGGGAAAAGGGTAATATATATGGTCAGTGCTTCTGTCATGTTGTAAGAAGACAAAGGCGTAAAGAACTTAGACCATGTGAAAGCCAGGAAGACTCAGTGTTACAGGTTAAGGGGAAAGTTCTTTCTTATTTCCCCAGGATGCATAATTCATTTCAAAAGACAACACATAAAGTCACTATTAGATTTTATCGTCATCATGACAGTAAGACCAGGTGAATTGTTAGAACAATGGTCAAAGGTGAGTTAGCATGTGAATGAAAATGAATTGCTGGCGGAACACTTTCCCTTTAACAGCAGGACATTTTGCACTGCCTAGTCTGAGTAAACTCCAACTTTTCACAGGTAAAAATATTTAAAGTTGCTTCAATGATTTGCTTTAGAGCTCTCTGAAACCATTCAGTAGTAGATAGGGCCCAATCCCTTTTTTTTTTCCACTTGAGCATAGTAGGACAGGAGAGGCACACAGTTTTAGCATTGTAGTCAAATAAACTGTTCTTTTAACAAGAAACTCACTGTAGGCTGTCTCCAATACTCTTAACATTTAATGTGCAGAGCATCAGGTTACACTCAGATCATATGGAAAAGTGGCATAAATGAGAATCCAGCCAGCCTTGGCCTTCCTTTATACGGCTTCGTGTTTGTTTTATTGCATTTTGTTGTGGCAACATTTTTTAAGAGGTAGAAAGTTGAGTTAATTCTTACCTCTTAAAGGAGCCCATTGTTAGTAGCTTGTTCATCACAGCCCCTTCAACCTCCCCAAAAAAGTAACCAGTCTGTAAGGGGAAAACACAAGAAATGAGCAGAAGTGTACACAAATGCAAAACAACTCTGGATACAATTTGAACTGGCATATTCTCAGATCTGACAAGAGCAGCTTTGACAGTTACACAGATAGATTTTCAGGACTACTGCGACATAAAAACTGGAGGACTTCACAGTCATGGCAAGTTATAGGGATTACATTATTACCCCTGAGCAGATGTGAGAGCTTAAACAATATATTGAGGTACATTATATAACATCTAATATCAGAAATAAAAGCCATCCAAACCTAAAGCTTGTAAAGAAAACACACTAATCTGATCACAAACCCTTGTGATTAAAATTTTACTCAAAAAAGATACAAACAGGTTGCGAGAGGATTTCATAAATAGTCATTAAAAAGCATTTTTTTTTATATAATTCCTGCATGACCCGTTTAAGGAGCTGGAACAGCTCAATTCAGAGTCATTTCATATTTAAAACCACTCAGTCTGATGAATAACTCATCTTGTCCTTGTTCAGTAGTTGTGGACTAATAAAAGTAAATCTGTTGAGAAAACAAACATTCATGTTATGAATTTGGTACAGAATATGGAAGGGACTCCATTGTCCACAGTCATTCACACAACACTGGAAAATCCTGCATGTTCGGCATTTTTCTAGTTTGGGAAGACATTTTTAATTTTAGAGTTTCAACTCCCAGAAGGATTGGGTATGTTCTCTGCTTTGTTTAAAAGGAGAAATCCCACAATTTATGGGGGGGAAATGGCACTACACTCTCAAATTGCATAGATTCCATAGGTTTTGTATGAACTAAACCCCAATTCCATTACAAGAAACTTAGCTGACCTCAAGCATGCACCTGGGATTTTGCAGGCAGAAAAGTTACAGCTCTAGCCAAAAAAAGGCATTCCTCCACCTACAAAGCAAGTATTGCCTTTTTTTTTTTTCAACTTAGGGGAAACTTGGAACATTTTCCAAAACATGTGGGTGTGTAAAGTCTCCTAGAAACAAAAGGAACATTTGTAGCTTATATGACTAAAAATACTAACTTCAATAGCTGTAGCTGATGAAGAAAGATTATCCTTAACTATGGGAGAGGCAGTCAATGTCAAAAAGCTCAAACCATAAATGACTAGTATAACCTTAGATAGTTATAAACCTGATTTATCAAGTTGCGCTTCATTCTTATAAAGACATTTCAGTGACAGCTCTCCACATAGAAGCTCCATTTGGAAATGTTAGCTCTCCCCCAAAGCAGTAACACACAGATTATCATTACTTTTTAACACATTAGGATTTAGCTGGAATACAGATGAAGAATTACATTGTCCTTGAACAACATTCTTTGAGCAGTTCAGGTAAGTTTTGGGAAGTCCATAGAAGAACAGTGCTGAAGCAACCCCTGACAGATGAGTAATTGATAATGCATCATCCCACTTCCCTACCTCTTCTCCATCAACAAGAGTGTATATATTATACATACACATATAAAAGTAAATATATGCTATTGCAATTATGATAATCTTAATACTGCATTATATAAACATAGAGACTTTACTGTCCGTCTTACACTTAGATCAGTTGCAACTAAAAAACTAGGTCATAACAAATTTCTAACCTAGTTCTGGTAATGGCTAGTATCAGGTAACCTGTCAGAGAAAAAAATCCCTTCCTAATCATATTTATTTACTGTAGCCATCTATTAACTAGGAAACCAGTTACACAAGTCACAATTAAGCAGCTGTGAATAACAACAATGGGAGGAATAATGAGACAAATTGTTAAGGTTGCAATAACCCAAGCTTCTGATTTAAAAGCAAAATGCTCGGTCTGGCTTCTTTTTTGTCATTCACTTCAAGTTTTTTATCTCTCCAGTCACTCTTCCATACCACCCAGAGCTCTTTCCAATAGCTGTTTCTCAGTAACCAGACTAGTCATAACAAATTTAATTCACCTGAGGGCTAAGTAGGACCGTGGATATTCCTATTTACAATTCCAACTCATAAAAGAAATTCAACTCCAGACAATTCTGGCATAATTGGGGCACCATCCCAGCAGCTTTCAGGCAAAAGTGATAGGTTCTTCATAAGGTTTGCAGGATTGAGCAATTAGACATTCATTTTTCAATAATTTTCCATGAAGGCAAAGCAAATTCATGTTTTGAATGATCTTCTCATTAATCATGATCCTTGCCCTCTGCTGTGATGCTTAGTGCTTAGTTTTAATCCTTCAATGACCGTAATCCACTTCAGAAAACAAGCTCATCGGCTAATGGCTCCATAAAATTTCATTATCTCAAGTCTGAATGTAAAAGTCCTGTGTTCCCAGCATCCTCCCTCCCCAGTGTTTCCATCTGGCAAAAAAATGCTGTACAGAATCTTTTTTTCTTGGGATAAAAATGTCTTACAGATGACAGACACTTCTGCAGCAAAAAAAGCCCTTTAAGAGAACGTTTAGGAGTTTAAGAGCAGATCCTGCCACAATGAGAGACAGAAACTGAGCTCCTGTGACACACAAATTCCTTGTTGAAGGTATTATTTTAATCTTATGTTACTAATTCCTTAACATTTAAAGATAATGGCCCACTCAACAAAACAAGTTATTTCATATGAATATGTTACATGAGAAGACTGAATAAAAACCTTTCCCTTACCTGTCTATAGTCTTCAGACACTAAAATAAATCCATTGTTATCTATTAGGTAACAGTTGATTACCTGAAAAATAAAGAAATACAATTTTAATTTTTTATTTTAGGATACAGCAATAAGTTCATTACTTAATTTACTCTAATTCCAAGTGACTTCCAAATCGGTAAATTTTTCAGATTGCTATAATGGCTTAAATAACTTCTAAATGGATGTAGTCTCAACTTACAGGATGTTATTTAAGTTTTTTCCATTTGTTTCATGCAAAACAAAAAGGAAGATGTGTACAGAAAGGGAGAATATAAGATAATTATAAACAAAAATAAAAAGAACAGGTCAGTGTTTTTATGATCCATTCCTAAAAGTTTTCCCCAAAACTAAGTTTGCTGCTCCTGATGGCTTCTCCTGTGTTTGGAGAACAACATCAGCACAATGTCATTACCCTAATGATGTATTAATGAAAACACAGTGTCAACTGGGAGAATCAACTGGGGACCAGGTAATATTTTTTAATTTGTTCATTGGGGGATGGGACCAGAAACTTCTGTCTAAGAGGCCCCACAGGTCTCCTAAAGCTTTTCAAATTGTGTTTTTAATTGGGAACTGGATTTAGAGGCAGGACTGCTAGCTTTTCGTAGGTCAGATGTATAAACTGTGGAAAATAAGGTAAGCCCAAAGCAGTGCTTCCCCCCAAACATGCATGCACTATTTTAACTTCAAGTGAATTATTTGCTACAGGCAAAGTTTTAATTACTGCACTTCAAAGCTTAAACATAAATTTCAGCTCAAACCTTGATAGAACTCAGTTTCTCTTCAGCATTGCCGAATACCTGGCTCAGTGAAATCTTTAACTTATTTCTATTGTTGCTCTAAATCAGCAAACATTTTATCATTCTTGCTTGAATTCTTTGTGACATTTGTGAAACAAACGATAGCTTCCAATATAGGAGTCATCATGTCTCTGCTTTTCATTCAAAGCCTTTTCTTCTGCAAATGAGCTGTACAGAAACTGATAAAATACGCTACGTTCTGCACATCCAGCAAGATCTCTTTGCTGTTCTAGAAAGGAAAGCAGTTCCATGCAGTTGTGGTTGGGCAAGATGTTGTGAAAATGCAGTCTGATTTTTCAAGAAGTACTTAGATGTGTCTGATTCCTACTCTGGTCTCATACTAGTCCTGTTCTGTGGGGTTGGAAAAGATTTTTGCAGAAATGCTGGCTATTTATTAAAAAAGCAAAGAAGTCCAAATCAGGCAAAAGTTCGGAATGAATATCATCGCCTAACTCAAATGCAGGATACTCATTTCAATAGGGGAACCTAAGCTACAGACACTCCCAGTGACAGAAAACCTGTCAAAAGAAGTTGAAACAACTCATTTCCAACCTTTGATCTGCTAGGAAGCCCAAAATTGGCAAATGCAATGTGAAAAGCTGGTGATGCTGGCAAAGAATCAAGTAGAGCTAATGCATTCAGGAGAGGCAGCTACTTAACCTCAATGGTGTGTGAAGGGTGGAATTTCAGAAGTAGACTGTAACACCAGAACACTGCTCTCCCCAAAGTCAATCATAAAATTCCCACTAACTTTATTAGGAGAGGAGCTAAGACAACAAAGAGCTCTTTTGAGGATACATATTTGCAGTCCTCATGCATGAACGATTAATCTAAAGATAGTGCTTCAGAAACAACATTTCTCCACAGTATAGAAAATAAATAAAAGTAGTTATGCTGGACGAGGAAGAGTTCAGGCTTAATTTCATAGTTTACGGATTATATGCCATTGGGAAAACACTGGCTTGATTCAAGAATTAGTGGCCATGTCTCAAATCTTTAAGCCATAGTCATTCACTAGCTTTGTTCAGAATTAAAAAAGATACCAATGTTTTAACATTTTTATTGGAAACAGGCATAATGCAGTAAGTTGAATCTGTATCTTTCTGTAGGAATGTGAAGATAAGAGGGTTTCTATTTCAATCCATTTCAGAAACATTAACAAGGGAAAAATATTCATTCAGGACCATTCATTCACTTGCTTGCCAGCAAGTTAAATAACTTAATATTCAGCAGTACATTAAAGAAACAGTTTGCAACTTAAATTTAGCACTGACAAAGAACTGTGGGGTCCAATACATTAGCACATCTCAAACCAAAGTTTTCAGATAGAAGATTAATGCGTGGGATATGAACTATGCATAGGTTTGCCCAAAGGTTTAAGTTCAGTGAACTTCAGATTTCAAGGGGAACTTTCCATAGGTACAGAGTCCCTGAGCTTGTAAAATAGAGTAGGCATGAAGTCCAGAATAAACACAGCAAGAATGTTGACTGAGGTCTGGGAACACATTTGAATTATAGCAGCTTTTGACCAAGTTCAAGTACTCTACGTATTTTTCACAGCTCCAATATACAAATAACAGTAATGGAATGTAATATGGGTTAAGAAATCAAAAACTAAAAAGAAAAAAACCAGAAGATTTAAATAAAATGTGAGACACCAGGAAGAAAAGAAGAACAAACAAGCAAATTCAGAGTTCTTGGGGGAAAAAAAAACCACGAGAAAAGGATTTCTAATTAATTGGATATCTGTATTTTACAATCACAAGTATCACACAAACTCACCAGCTAATTCTTTGTATTCTGTTGAGCCACTCTATTTGCACTGCTGTCTTAATACTTTTAAATGCTTTAATTTATACCATAACTGTTCACTAGATATTTTCTTGCCATTGAGAAAAGACGGCCATGAAAGTTAACAGACTCAGCAGAGAAGCTGTGATATTTGACTGAGTCCCATCGTGCTCTGGCGGGGGGGCTGGACTAGAGGATCTTGTGAGGTCCCTTCTAGCCCCGACATTCTGTGATTCTGTGAAAAGTATATTTTGTCATTGAAAAAAAAGATCGGAATCTCTAAATCACCAACACTCACACTATTGCTAAATTTCTCTACATGCTTACATGGCTCCTGCTGGTGTCAACTGAAAGTAGCTGAAAAAACTCCAAGCTGTGTTTTCTTTGAATGTGGATGTAGCAGTAAATAAGTTCTGTGTGAATATTTAGCAAAGTGACTATTCTTATTGACTGCCAATGTGATAAAAAGCAAAGACTGCTTCTGGCTGCACCCTCTTAGAAACTTTATCAGCATGTATTTGCTTCCCAGCAAGGACAGACCAAAATCATTTTTGCAGTAACAATAATACGCTTGTTTTGACGAAGTTGTTGGCAACTTTGCAGCAGAAGCATGTTTTAGATAAATTATGTAGTATTAATGTTCTATCACAAAGGCTGTTGCAAAGCAACAAAATAATCTCTGCCCAGTTTTTAATCCCAAGAGCATGGAGATTAATCTAAACAAGGAGTAGATTTTATACAGCACTTTACCTAGACTACCTGCAGTTACACTTCTCAAGCTGGTTGGCTATGATTGCAAATCCCTTGATGAAAATATTTAAAGCTGCTGAAAAAAAAGTCTACAGCAAGCTACATCTACAGCAAGCTACAGTAGAGACAGGCCACAAAATTCAGGTAATTAACAGTTCTACAGAACTTTTTCAATAGATGTCTGATCACTGTTAGGAGGATGGGGTAATAAACATGAGCTCACCTTAAAATTTGTTAATATGCAAATGACAGCCTAGAATTGAGCGAGGTGAGCACTTTCACCCACACCTGTGTGGAATCTGCTTTTCTCAATACTTCATATTTGGAAAAGTTTATCTAATAATTAAGATGATACTAGCTTCAAATGGAAGTTGTTATAGCTAGAATTGCAAAAGATAATGTTGCGATATGACGGTATGATCATCAGGCTTTTGCGGCTTGCCTTACTGCAAATTTTATTTTCTAATATTTATTGGTATCTCTATCCTCCAACTGTTAGATCCCAGGGTGCTAGTAGATTAATTATCGTTTGTGTTGCTGATTTGGTATGCTGAAAAAGTCAGTGTTCCACTCTTAAAACTGCTGTTGCTTTAAGTTCTGATTCCTCCCTGGAATGACTTTTGTGGTCAAATCTCCTGTTAAGCAGACATACATTTCAAAATGTTTTATCAGTGCACCTATGTCCTGGACTGACTTTTCAATAAAATACATTTTAATGTCACAGTGTATTAAGCTGTGAATCAGTATCCTAGAAATGAGATTGCTAGGACTGACAATATACTTTTATTTTATACAAAAGTAATAAAATAATAAAATAACTTTTTTTGCCTTAAACAAATAAACATCCAACACAATAGTGGTACATGTTAGAAAGCAGTCCTCAAACACATCTATGAACTCTTTTTTTTTTTACCATGCTTATTTCAAGTTTTATATTGCCTATCCACAGGAGAGCCCAACTCTGCTGACTCTCACTACAGGAACATCACGCAATGCTTTATGGGACCAGCCTTGTTACAGTCCTGAACAAACTTCATGCTACACAACACAGAGCACACTCCAAATGAATTAACTATTGTCAGGCAGGAGTACAGTCAGGGCAACAGTTCAGGCGGTGTAACACGTGGAGATTTCACTGAAAATACATTAACACAGGGCAAGTAGCATCTCTGTGATAAGAAGTGGAAGTTTATTTCAAATGCTGGGACAGTCAGAAAGAAACCTGTAAGGTGAGACTATAAGAAACATAAGAAGAGAGAGCAGAGAAGGAGAAAAATAAAGTCTTGCAGAATACTGCAGATAATATATGTGGGTTCCTATTGTAAAAAGTACTGACACAGGCTTGTGAGAACTTGAAGATATTCAGAAGAAATGGTATCAGAGAAAAGAGATGAAGGCTTTGGTTAAACAGCAGAGTTTGCAATGGTGGAGGGAGCTGCAGTTGTCATGGTTTGTTTTGAATACCCTAAGTCACGCCTTGTTGAAATGGGAGAGAGAACTAATGCTGTGCTCTCTGCTGACTCTTGGCCATGCAGACAGCAGCTGTCCTGAAAATATCTAAGCATGTATGGTCTAGTTCAGGGTATCCTTCTAAGGTCCCTTCCAATCTAAGACATTCTATGATTCTACGTATGAAAAACTGAATAAAACCATATAAAAACCTTATAATTGTATATAAAAAAATATTATTCTACTTAAAAAAATTGCAAAAAACACTGCACTGACATGAATTACAGAGTCAAGCAGACTCTTGTATTCTAGGCATGTTTTACAATAGTTCTACTGGCCACTGCACAAAAAGTATCATACAAGTAGAGCCTGCAGGTTTTTATTTCCAGATGTATGAATTTACATTTTATCATATTTAAATTCATAAAGCTTGTTCAAGCACAGTTTATCAGGTGATTCAGATCTCCTCACATCTTTCACTCAGTTTAGAGATAACACACTGAACATTATCAGTAATTGTTTTTTCTTTAAAATCACTAACTATACTTGAAACAATATCTCAAATTCAGCTGTCCTTTTTTAGAAAATACCTCAATTTTCCCCATATAACTATACAGTTTGTGCTTTATTAACCGTTTTTTAATTCATTTAACTTGCCATATATTGGTTGTTTAACCAAAATACCATATGGTATGGTGTCAAATGCTTTGCAAAAATCTATGCAGAGAATAACAAAAATACTTTTTGTACCTAACAAATTAAATTACATAAACATCTACTTTGGTGAGTACAATAAGCCAAATCGACTCTGGTTACTTCTTTTTTTTAATTTCTGAGGTGCTATTAATGTATTAGTTCTGCAGTGACTCAACTCTGCATTCATGTCTAATTCTAGTGTGAACATCAGAGATTAGTTTCTAGGATGAACAATAAAGTAGCAAAATATGCCTTATAAGAGATTCAAATTATTTCTAAAACTTCACAAATTTATTACAACACATATTTGAAGTATTGGTGTCAACCTTGCAATTAAATGGATGATCATAAGCGGCCATTTAAAAAAGCCTTATTGTCTAAATAGTATAAAATTTAGAAGATGATTCCAAATTACACCAGGAGATTATAATGTACAATGAGATGTTCACATTAATTCATCTTTATGTTCTACTGCAGTACAAGTATAAATGGAAAATAAAATCTGTTAAATACTTACTTCATCATCGCAGCTTATAGCACATCTGCCATCGAGAGATGCACACTAGGGACATAAAAAAAATCAATAAAATATTTTCATTTCTCGCTTAATACAAAATATGACATTTATAAAGCCGTATGAGCACATTTGTAACGAAGTTGACATTGCTTACATTTTTATCTGATAGCAATTGTTCTAAAAATGACTAGGTAAGTTTTAAACCTGTTCACCAATCCTGTTCTGCTCCTGCCAGCAGAGAAAGGGTGCATTCACACCATAACAATTTCAGCTGTTTCAAACACCATAATCTCTGTGATTTAGAAGCTTGGGGACCATCTGTAGATAAGAATACATGTTCTCCAACTGGGCTGGGATAGGATCTGAATTTTAGGGGTTGTTTTCTGAAATAGCACAGTTCCAATCTATTCTCAAAATAGGGATGGCATCTCCTAATCTTCAGAAAGCACATGATTATCCTCTTCAATGATAACAAATCCTGTATCCTGAACATTTTCAGTATAGTTCATTAAAGATTATGAATGCAAATCACGATTCAGTAATCTAGTTTAGTTAATTACCTATGTAATGCTTCAGTTTCTGAATGTTGGAAGACAGGTCCTAAGTGAGTGAGAAGGCATAATTCTGCTATCACTGAAAACGAATAAATGTCAGTCTGGTTTACTGTTTCCACCTTTTTCTGAGGGAGAAAACCAAAACATGTCAGACCAACCAAGGAACTCCTTGTGTATAGGGCCTAAAATTAATAATCATCCGACTTGCTTTCATAAACATGGGATCAAGCAGCTGGTTTTGACCACTGAATTCTCTCTTTTGTAATCACAAACTGGAATGTAAATCAGAAGAGCTAACCATTATATATTTCAGATACCTTGTTTCTTTACAATAGTTTCACTTGTGACAAAAAAAATGCAGATCATCATCTGCACAGGTAGAAAGATGTTGTAGATTCAAGGACAAAGAAAATTTCATTAAAATATACCTGTCTGCTTGCAGTCCAAAATTTTCGTTGGAAAAATTCAAGTTTCATCTGGATACCTACAGCTGGGAAAAAGAAATAAACAAAAAATAAATAAATTAAATCAGTGTATTGAATTGCCTCATATGATTATTTAAAATTAATCAGAAGCAAAACCAGCCTTATAACAAAAATGGAAAGTAAGCACTAAAATATAAACCCACAAGTAGTTAAGCTGAAGTTAACACACAGTCATATTTTAAACCATTTACAGTTTGGTTAAACATAAAGGCATTGCTAACATAACGTGAAGAATATATGAGGAAAACATCATTCTAATTGCACATCTCCATAATTAACATAAAAGAACCACAACTTGAACACAGTTTTGTTCACATCTATCTCAAATTTATAGTTTACTGATAGTAACAGCTGTAGGAACACACACGGTGTGTTTTGTGTTGAAACCCAGGAAGATTTGCTGAAACAACATGAATATATTGGTTAACATTTCAAGGGATCATTTGGGTTTGGGCCAGTTAACCCATACATTATCACTGGAACACAAGAAGCCTATTTCAAACATTAAAAACTTCTTTAAAAATTTGAAATTGAGAGCATTATGTGCAATTCTGTCACATGAAGGTATCTGACAAACATTACTGCTTTTCAGATCTCAAAACAAAGGATGCTAATGATAATTAGTTAATATATTTTTCAGTAATGATTCAAGATACTATTGGTTTAAATTATATGTTTTTCATAACTTCAGACAGAATTATGTTTTTACTAATATCAGTGAACCTTTCTTCCAGCCTATTCCGATGTTTCTATCAGATCTAGCACTACATTGTTTCTATTGAACAACAATAAATGCACTGTGGTTTGCATAAGCTCTGAAGCTAATTGATTCTTCTGGTTTCACCTGCCTAAAGCAAGAGAACTATTAACACATCCATCTACCTGTGCTGAACATTTCCAAATTAGCTTCCTTTTCTTTAAAAGTCCCTGTACCAAGTGATATTCTAGTTGTTCAGTACAATTTATTAGCAGGTTCTAGTTCAGTGCCCTACAGCTCCTTGATATCAGCTTAGACAATACATAATCGCTACGGTAAAAAGAATTAACTGGGCCCTAGAGAGTAATTTATAACCTTAGTATACTATTTTCCTCCCAAATGCTACAGTTTTTAAAGACTTGGAAGTGTGAAGACCTGGATTCTAGCAAATTCAGTGATACAATGCTTCAAAATAATCTAGTTGTTTTGGAAAACTGAAGAAAATTTTATTTATTCATTTCTCCTCTAAGATCCACACAGCAGGGATCTTTTAAAAACATATTTACATTTAGATTATTGCTACTTGCTTTTCCAAATGCACACATGCTGATGTCATGCATATATTTGGTTTTGTGTCAGCAGGTAGGAAAAAGTATGTGAAATGAAATCTGCAATGAACTGATATGATGGGATGTGAAACTACATAAGGAATTTTCTTATTATAGCAGGTTATAAATAGTTTTTTTGCTATCTCTAAAGTCATACACGCTTCTTTGCTTAAGAGAGTAAGTGGAGAAATCCATTACTCTTTTGAATAAACTCCAGAGGAGACTCTCTCCAACTACATTTTATTATCTAGTAATTTATTTTACAGTCAATGAGATGCTATCTGACAGCCGTGCAGCACATGTTTTCTCCATCTGTTGTTTGCCTTTAGGTTCTTTCCTAGCATGCAGGTGATCTGCACATTCTAGCCACATTTTCTGCAATGAAGGCAAAACGAAAGAGTTCAGAAACTCTCCATGAGGACATCACATTGCTTCTGGATGTTACATCAGTACTTGAAATGTCAATCTCATATTCTACCAATCCATTTACTCGTATAAAACAAAAAAAAAAAACCCTTTTATATCAGTAAAATTCTTCTTGATTTCAGCAAGCAAAGTTTATGCCTTGTTTTCTACGTGTGAACTTTCCTGTTGAATTCCCTAAATCAAGCCACACGATGAACATCATATACAGAAATAAGAACTTTGCTGAATCAAAGACTAGGATTTGACTCCAACAGTTAAAAGACTCCAGCCTGCAAAGACTGTTACCTTTTGCAGACTTCAGGTAGAAACAATAGATTTCTGATCATGGAGGATCAGACATCTTTTCAAAAAGAAACAGAATTAATAAGCTTTCTGAGCAACAAAACATCATATCGACTGGAAACCAGAGTGGGAAATGGTTATCTTTACTCTGCATTGGAAAAATATAAATTCTTAAATCTATGTTGCAAATCTTTAAATGCTTCTGAGCTCTCAGTTTAAAGGTAACCTGACAGGACTCAGTGGAGTCAATGCACTTCTCAGATGAGACACGGCTGTAAGCCAGTAGGCATTTCATGGAGCTTCATCTTTCCCCAAGGGATTTTCTAACAGCATCTTCTGGCTGATCTGTTTTGAATGGTTGAGTTCCTAAAAAAAATGGATTGTTAAAAGTGTTTGGGTTTTTAAAGATGCAGATTTTCAGAAGTGTTTACACAGAATTGCTATTAACTCCTGATTTCTATGGTTCCATAACCAAGCATGACTGTAATCTGTTTCTCTAGAAAGGTTTCTAACTATTTCTGCAAACCCTCCAAAATGCTTGTCTTCACTTATGAACTCTCAGGTGCCTTACAAATTCTATTCCTCACTCATTCATGAACACTAAAATCTTCAACTAGCTACACTTATTACAGAGCACCTCTCACTAAAGAATCTCAAATTACTCATTAAATATGGTTAAGTCTTAATATTCTTATTTTATAGCCGGGAGAATGATGCATAAAGGAAATGAATATCACAGTTCACACAGAGATATCCTCCAAAACCCTGTCCTATCAGTTAGAAATACTTCTGCTTTTAACAGGCACAGATGAGTGGACTGTACTTAGATATTGTTCATTTAAGTTAAGGATAAGGACCACCACCTGCACGCATATTGCAGGACAGGAGAAGACAACACAGCTCCCACAAACATGGTATGGTGAAAGCAGCAATAGACATTTTCTTTCAAGGGCTGTATCTTAACTGAGATTTTAATCTCACAATTTTAGTTTCTTTACATTTTGTTCCTTGCATAATTCCACATGGAACTTCCCTGTCACTGAATGTGTAAGTTCTAAATATTCTATATCCTGCATGATACATAAAAAATTACAATTATGAATGTTTCCCACAATTCAGCTAATAATTATTTGAATGCCTCTACAGTTAAAAGAATTAACATTGTTAGTGTACATGAAAATCATTTTCTTTTCTGAGGTGATACTAAAGCATTTTTGCAGGCACTTTTCCCCTGAGCTTTTCGAGAACATACTAACTAGCACAGAATAGTTTTTGTGCAGGTCATTTAATGCCTTAAGAACCATTCAAATATACTTCAAAAGTTTTTAAAGTCAATACATTCTTCTGAGCAATCCCTAGTCCTTCATCATTTCAGAACTTCAGAATGAAATATGTGTGCTCCAAGCTACTTCATTTTTAAATCTATGTTTTAGAAACTGGATGCATATGCAGAAAAAGGGAAAAAGGGAAACTTCAGAATTGTACCACCCAATTCCAATGGTCTTCACCACTGCCTTGCCTTTCTAATGTCACGGGGGAAGGGGGGTCTCGAGCTTGAGGTGTACAGGAGATAGCTAATGAGAGCTGACAGAGGAGTGTTAAGGCTCTTTTCCCCATGTTACACAAAAGGTGTCATTTCAAATGAATATTGCAAGTCCCATTTTTTGTTTCAATCATATTAGCAAATTAGGTGATTCCAATAAATGCCTTTAATGCTGCCTATGGAAAACGATTATTAACTCCCTGAGATTTCTTTCCTTTGTTTAATAAAGTGGCTGCTATTTGGTAGCACATACTCTGTGAAATAATAACAGATGGTTGAGAATTACAAAGTTAAATTCTTGGCTTAGTGATAATTATTGCCAAATAAATAGTTTCCTTATGCATTGATTACACGGATGAGGGTAATATTTCACGCTTTTCATAGGATGCTCTGAGAATATTCAACTGCAGAGCTTGGGGCTGCTTAGTATCAAGGCAAACATAAAGAAAAATAAGTAACTACTCAGAATAGAGCAGGTTTGCTTGTGTTCAAGATCTCCACAGTTAAGCAAATGGACAGAAAGATAAGGAAAGCCTTCCTCAACAAATTACTTCTGCGCACAGAATTACAAGAGATCTTAGGCTCTAAGTAAAAAGAATAATCTCCTACTTTAAAGAAGAGAGGAAAATAGATTAGATTGGTTTATTTCAGGCAAGAGAGGAGCTGTATCTCCCTATAAACCTGGCAGAGGGTTTCCAAATACATAATTAAGGAAAAAGTAGTAAAAGCTAAAAGGATTTCCATTCTGTGAAATATCTATAGATTGTTACACTACATAAAAGCACTAGATCAGCAAGGTTAGAAAAATATCGTAAGGTCTACATTTTGTACAGAATATGCTAAAATTCTCTCACACCTAAAAGACATTCAACATTTTGAGGATATTTGTGGCTCCTATTTCTGATGGAATTATCTTAAATGAGGTTTAACTTGGCTTCAAAATAAGAAATCTTGGAAACAGATTTGTAGCAGGATTACTTTGTTAATCTGTATCACCTTTGCATATTAGGTTAGACTCCTTAAGATTCCCTTCTTTCTGCCTACTCATATTACTGCTTATTAATATAATTTGAAATATCTAGTAACTAAATGTGAAATAATCCAGAACACCTTCAACTACTGTAAAAAAGTTGATTGCACTTCTTTTGCTTATGCTTTAAATCTGTTCAGTTCAAAATCTGTCTTCAGTTTTTAGTTCAACCAAAGAGTAAGATGTTGAATATCACACTGCAATGCATAATACTGAGATAAACACCATAACTGCCAAAAAGCACCTCCAGTACACATTAATGGAAGACTCCACCACCAAAGATATTGCCTTTAAAAATGCTTATAAAATATATGTGTTACATACTGCAAATAAAAAGGTACAGATTTTTTCCCCTCAATTCCAAGAAGTCTTACCTAATAAATTAGAGGTATTCTAACAGGCATTCTCTTATAGTAATA